TGATTGATAAGTCATGTGAATATGTTCCTGGATGAGATTAAAAAATGAAAGAGGAGCTGATTTTTAAAATAATATCTTTACATGTATGTAAATTAATTGTTTATTATTTTCTCATTAGTAAAATGGTTGCAATAAAGCTGAATCACTGGATGCTTTTAGAAATAAAAAATGATAATGTGGATGGAAATACCTAGTAGCATTCTCAGCACACAATGCATGCCTCACTGTTTTTCATTTCTCTTCTTTCCATTTCCATTGCAAAATAAGTGGCAAAACTTCAAACATTTCCTCAGAGCTCTGAGGTGTAACAATGGAGAAAATTGTGGATGAAACAAGTGCCAAGTCATGTGCTCATATGGAAATAGTATGGTAGCGAAGCTCAGCATTCCTGCTGTGGTCCCCAAGTCAGTCTTCACAAAATAACTGCCCTTTAAAAAGCAGCCTCTGCTGTTCATCACATGATAGCAATCAGGAGGGAGATCTTTAGTTCCTGGACTTTGCTTAGTCTCATTCAGGTAGTGAAATGCACCTGTCAGAACATACCTAATGAATGGGTGGGATGACGTTCTGATCATCACAGGTTCTAAGGATCGACTACAGGCTGAGCTCTCTGCCTATAGTTCCATTGAGTGTTTTGTGACACCTCAGTTAGCTCAGATGCATTGTCCTGCCAGAAAGCAGGGGGGGGAGGAGGGTGAAGAGGAGGAGTGGAGCCAGTGATAAGCTTAGGGGATGAGCTGGGGGCACATGCCCAGTGCCTTTTAGGTGTCTTTAGCTTTAGTGACCATCAAATAGACTATGCAAAGATGCTCCCAGGTTAAGTGGAATTGTTCGGTGTGTAATCTTGACTCTACCGTTTGCACAAACACTTTCATTAGTTTTAATTTAAAGAAAACAAAAATTGAATATGACATCACATTTGTATAAAAATTTTCAGTTCCAAAGTGCTTTAGCATCAATGACTCCGTGGTTCTCCTTGCAATCCTATGAGAGTGGTTAGTGTTGTCCTTTTAATGTTTTATTATTTGTGTGTGTGGTGAGGGGGAAGAACGTGCATGCCAGGCCAGTTCTCTACCACAGAGCCGCACTCCAGGCTCTACAGTTTTAAACAAAAACAACTACAATGCCAAAAAAATAATTAATTAAACAACAAAAGACAACTAATTAATTAAACAACAAAGGACAACTTTGTTCCAGAGACAGATGACGGGGCAATTGCCACACACCCGTTGGTAGAGTCAGCCAACTTTCTTTTTCCATGACTCCAGTGTGGCCTTCATTACCAACCACCAAAGCTGCCTTTAATGAAAGCAACTAGACCAGCGCGGTGGGACAGTGATTTTCTATTTCCCACCATGACTATTCAGTGTGTAATTAAGTCACCTGCAAAGCAACACATCCTTGAAGCCCAGCTGGGATTGCAGGTTTCCTGAGGCTGCCACACCTGGTGCAATTCTTCTAATTCCAGGGTTCATTACTTTATCCATAGTGGCTGAACGGGATGGCTGATTTGCATATGAATACTGCCTCTTGGCACAGGTACAATGGAGTAACTGGAATGTATTGCTGTCTGTGAGCAGGAGTGCCCTTATTAAAACAATCTAGCAAACTGTGAGTGACAGAGGACAGGGATGACCAGGGTTTCTCTTTCTTCTAATGATAACTCATGATCCCAGGGCAGCACACCAGGAACAGGCTGATTCATTTTCTCTCATTCTCCTTCTCCACATGTGTTTCTGTGTTGATTACTTTTCTGGACCTGGGGTGAGAGGGAATGAAAATACAGAATTTTTTTTTTAACAAAAATATACAGTCAAAGAACATGGACTATACCATCAATGCTAGCTAATGACGAGGGGGAAAATCCAAAATACTTAATAGTTCCTCTGAGGTCTCAAGTGAAATATATAAAATTCCCAATGTACAATAATATTGGGGAGAGGGATTGGTTAATAGCATCTCTTTCGCCTTTTTCCAACTCTTCTGTGAAACAATTGTTTAAAAAAATTAAAGAACAGGAAAAGAAATGCAGTTGCAGTAGTGTTGTACCTTTGGGACTCTTTGTTGTTAGTTAGATGAACCATGGAAGGATTTCACAGTTATTAAACTTTACGTGGACTTGGGAGAGTGGTATGTTAGCTTCTCATCATAGTGAACAAAATACCTAACAATGAATTCATTGGACGACTATTAATCCATTGGGTTGACCGCCTACCTCCTCCAGCCACTCTCTACCTCGTACAGTTACCACACAGCTAATCCACATCAGAGGGTCAATACACTGATTAGGTTAAGGCTCTCCTTCTAATTGTTTCACCTCTGAAAGTTATTGCATTGTCTCACACCTGAGCTTTGGAGGGACACCTCCTATCTAATCCATAATAGGGACGATGTTTCAATACAGGAGCTTTCTGGTGTTGTTCCACATCCAAACCCCAACCTCAGGGATCTGGTAGATCTCAACAGGAAAGTGCCAACAGATAAACCCTCACTCTTACTGTGCATCCGCTGTAGGATCCTGGGCCTTGTCTGACCAGGAGGATGGAGTGTCACACTGCCTGCACTTCCAGAGTACCCGACTCCACTCCAAACCTATATTACATCCTTTGTGCATCTACATAGGACCTTCATGTCCCATCAGCACCTTCAAAATAATATGCTATTAAGAGTTTGTTATTCCAGCAGCTCAGGAGGCTGAGGCAGGAGGATCACAAGTTCAACTTAGGGAGACTTAGCAATTTAGGGAGACCTTGTCTCAAAATAAAAAAGGGTAGTGGTTGAGTGCTCCTGAGTTCCATCCCCAGAACCCATCCCCAATCTCCCCCAATAAAAGAGTCTGGGATGTTGTCTAGAAGACAGTGACTTAATGGTGGCCAACTCTGCACATTGGGCCACTGAAGTCTCCCCTACTTTTCTGACACTCACAGGTAGGAGGTGGGCACAGTAGGTGTCCTTCTGCACATGGGGATCATCCTCCATTCACACAGCATGCTCTTTTACATGAGGGAAGATTGAATCTTGGATGATCTGCAGCACAATTTACATTTGTCCCTGCCAGAGACAGTGCAAGGATTTGGGAGACACCTTATGTGCACCTCAGTGGAAACTGCTCCCATGGTTTCTTTCCCACTCCTGATCCTCCCAGCATACTTCACTTTTCAGGCAGTCAGAGAGCACTACCTACCCATTTCCATTCTTGTGCAACATCTCTCAATTTTTAACCATTGAGAGCTTTGGGTCAGGCACAGAGTTCACTTTACAGGAATTTTGTCATTTAATTCCAAAGGTAGCCTTAGGAGATAAGCAGCTTACCTGGATTTTATTTAGAAAAGGTTCTCACTGAGTTGCTTAAGGCCTCACTTTTGCTGAGGCTTGCTTTGATCCTCCTGCCTCAGCCTCCAGAGCTGCTGGGATTACAGGTGTGTACCACCATGCTTGGCTACCTCCCAGGATCTTCAAGTTAAAGTGCAGAGCAATAAAAAGCAAAGCAACTCCCCCCATATCTATCTATCTATCCATCCATCTGTCTACCATCTATCTATCAGTATCTGTAAGTATATGTATAAATATATGTATGTGCATATATATACATATATACACATATATATCTTCAGAGTCTGGATCAAAAAGGTTTGTGCTTATGGTACATTCAAAGGGAAAATATTTTGAACATAGATTGATTACCAAAAAAAAAGAAAAAGAAAAAGAAAAGAAATCTTAGAACCTGAATTCTAAAGAATCTGTAAAATTTGAGCTCATAAGCACATAGTATTTAAATTGTGCTTATCAATTCAGAGAGGTGCCTATAAATACAGTTCTCTGCACTCCTACGTCCCATCATATAATGGTGTAATATCATCCCCTCATTCATTTCTTTCCCCAGTTATGTCAACAATAACAAGCTTTTTTGAACCTTTACATTATGCTGGACATGGTACTGAATATTTTACAAATTAGGGTATAGTTATAAAAATAATCCCTAATAAAAAGACACATACCCCGAGTTAGAAAATAGCAGTGTCCAGAATGTTGATTATTAAAGAAACAGTAGTTCAGAAATAGCTCCCATTTTATTTATTTGACCAGAAAAATGACAAGCGTCAATAAGACCTCACCAGCCATTGCTATTCTTGGTTCCCGTGTGACCTTTGTCAAAACAAAAAGAGCAGAATCTTGACTCTGTGCCCAGCAGACTGCGTGCTCCATTCATGATACTTGGCAGACTTCTCATTGTCTAAGACACAGGCACTCTGTGGGGCTCTCCCCATCTCCCTGTGCTACAGCCAGAGAGCCCACAGCCCTGCCGGGGACTCCCTCCTCCACTCCCTGCTCTGGGCCTGTTCATTCATTTTTAATTTTCAGGTTTTACCATTGTCTCTCCATCACATACCCTCAGTCCCTGGTGACCCTGTTCTATTCTCTACCTCTGAGATCCACTTCTTTAAATTCCATGTATAAATGAGATCTGTTCACAAGTATGCTGTAGTTTGAAATCCCTTTTATTTTTTGTGACACTGAAGATCTAACTTGGGGCCTCTTGAATGCAAAACAGGTGCTTTACCCCAGAGCCCAGCCACCAGCCCCGTGAACTAGTGTCTGCCTCGACTGTAGGCAGTCTGAGCACAACGACTGTGTTTTGACTATTTTCATTTACTTAATGCTCAATACTGTGCCTTACTGTAGGAATTTAGTCTCTTATGTTTGACAAAGGACAAAACTGGTCCCCCAGGAATGACGGGAATGATGAACTGGCTGCCCACATGACATCAGACATTTCCTCCACTCAGTGTGACCCTCTGAATGGCAGGAGTCATCTAGCTAAATGTGAGGAGAATGTAGGGTCCATCCTCGTTCAGTTTCTTTTTTTCTAACACGAATCTATGATTTTCTCAAGTTTATGTATACTTCTAAGCTGACTGTTTGCTACTCCAGGAACAGGTATGCTAAGTTATTTCCTCCTCCTCCTTACCATTCTCCTTCTTTTTTCTGCCTCAAAAAAGGAGCTGGTGGATGGACCCCACTTGTGTCAAATAAATACCAATGGCTGCAGATTGACCTTGGAGAGAGAATGGAGGTCACCGCTGTGGCCACCCAGGGTGGATACGGGAGCTCCGACTGGGTGACCAGCTACCTCCTGATGTTCAGTGACAGTGGGAGGAACTGGAAGCAATATCGACGAGAAGAGAGCATCTGGGTATGTTTTCCAATAATTAGAATCACTACTAGTTGCTGCAAACCCATAAAGAGAAACAGTCTTCATGTACACTTTTTATTTTGTTTTCAATTGACACATAACAATTACACATATAGGAAGTACAGTCTGTTAGATACATGTATGCACTGAGTAGTAACTAAATCAGGGTATTAGTTTGGGAAAGGATATTTTGGAGAAAACTCCAAAATCACAACCAACAAAACTACAAGTAGAAAAATCAGATTATGACTAAGAAGCTTCCATACAACACAGGAAGCAGTGAACAGTGAAGAGATAACCTACAGAATGGGGAAAGATATTTGCAAAAGATACTTCTATTGAGAAAAAGGATTTTAAGAATTACTTTGAAAAAAAATTTTATGTGAAAGCAAGTTGCCCATTTCAAAGAAAATATTGAAAGAGCCTCTTGTTACTATATCCTTAAGTAGTGTGGAAGATTAAGAATAATACAAATCCTATGTAATTTTCCTTGTTTTGTTGAATAATATATTTTAGCATTGCCTCTGCATGATTTCACATTAGTATATTGAATTTATTCTTTCATTTTCTCTGATTTAATCCCATGCTTCTGAAAGATACTGAAGTTTTAAAATTTAATAAATGAGCAGATTCTCTATGTAGGACAGGTTCAAGAACACAGGCTTTGAACTTGAAAAATCGTGTTTTCTTTATTATGTAGATACATTGAAAAATTCCAGGCTGTAGATCTCAGTGAGATCCTCCAGAAGACTTTGAATTTCCTCACGGTGGTGGCATTTCTATTGGTGATTATGTCTCAAAGCCTTTTTGGAGGAATAATTTTTGTTTTAATTTTGTGAATATTTAACTTATTGTGTATTTAACTAATTGAAATGTATTGCAAAAATAATTTGGTACCTAATGTTTGGAAGTAACTCAGATGTGTTTGAAATCTTGCTCTGCATTGATGAAGGCTATTTAAAAGGTTGGGGACGGTTTCCCTATAAAAGAGATATTCTAAAACCAACACCATCTGTCTCCTCTCCCTTCTTTCCCTGTTTCCTTTTTTTAAAAAATCTTATTCTAAAAGGTAATATGCTTAGGGAGAAATAATGTGAAGAATAAGGTCCTTATTAATCCAAAATAGTGTAAGTAGCACCAAATGCCAGTCCCCACCTACCATCCCCTTGGGCTGAGCTGAGCTTCTCTGGAGTGACTGGTTTCCTTTCCTGAAGCCACATCACAGCGTGAGCGTCCTCTGAACTCGTCGTGTCTTTCTGCATCTCTGGTTTGGGTTGACTTGTGCTTCTCCAAAACACATGCTGGAATTCTAACCTACAGTATGTTGAAAGCTGACTTTATTTTGAAATTGGATATTTACAACCACATTAAAATGAGGTCAATAGGGTTGGTCTTAATCCAATATGACTCCTCCTAAAATGAAGACATTTGAACACAAAGATGGACACACATGGAGGGAAAGAACACTCCATGAAGAGGAAGTAAGACGTCTACAAGCCAAGGAACACTGAGGTCACCAGAAGCTAGGAGGTGGGCAGGCGTGGAACAGGTCTTTCCCAAGTGCTTGTAGAGGTAGCTGCCCTGTGGTCAGCTCTGTCTTTTGGCCTCTAGGAGCTTAGTTACTTTGTGTGAGGTACTTTGTTATAATGGCTCTAGGAAATAAGTGCATTCCATGGAGTTTAACTCTTCCATGTAGAGGCCAGAAGATGAGCAAATGTTTTCTGAATTAATGAGTGGGATTCATCCTCTCCCAGGATGCCTTTCTTGAGCAACCACACTGACCGTAGTCTCTCCCAGCCCTGCACTTGTCTAGGACATGGTTGCACTAAAACCAGGATGCATGGTACTGTGAGGATCTGGTTCCTTCCGCCATTTTGATCCAAGAAGTGTTTGAGGGCAGGGCTTTGTCATGGCTCTCCCTTCATCCTCCATCCCTCTGACCTGCAAATAGTCACCATTTAATAAATTCAGTGCCTACTCTGATTGCACAGAATTTTGTAGGGTGAACCAAAGTTAATGCTAAAGAGATGGAACCCACAGACCAGCCAGAGATGATTATTGGGTGTTCACCTACGAGACACAGACCCCAGGGACTGCAGAATGGAGCTTAGACAGGCCTTGAAGAGAATGTTTGGAGTGCTGCAGAGTGATGAAGTAGGTGTCCTAGAAAGCAGAAGTAACATGAACTCCGAGATGCAAGAGGACTGGCCATACTGAGATGGGGAGACTATGAGGAGTTTCATGAAAGTTATAAAATAGCCAAGAGCGAGGGTCTCACGTTTGAATTATGAAATGCCTCTGCAGATAGCTGAGTTTCTCCACCTACCTCAGCATCCAAGGGACCTTTTCTTTGTTCAATCATCCATTCTTGCTTTTAGTAAATAAGTAAGTGATTGGTAGACTTTAATAATATCTTCTAGGAAAATATAAGCTGAATCACGATTATATTCTTGATGAGTGTGGCCTCTCTGGTGTGTTCTGTATCAGTTACTTTTTCAGAAATAAAATTCATTGATTGTCTTAGGTTTATCATTTTCTTAAAAGGATGAGTTGATATTGGCTGTTATATAGTCTTGTCATCGCTGCTGTAATAATAGATTGCATATCTTATATGAGCTTTCACCCTTTATCTAGGCAATAATTCTAGATTTCATGAATGGAGTTAAAATAAGTTAGCTTAAAGAGATTTGGTTTTTATGTATAAAATTATTTACACTATGGATTAAAGAAAACTGCATGTTTTTGTAAACTTACTATCATTTTTTTTCTAGCACAGATTCAGACTGGCTGCAGTGCTTGCCTTAGATTTATTGCATTAACCTTCCTCTCGCAGGAAAACAGAATGTGTCTCCAGATCTCTTCTAAAAAGCCTATTTCTTTTATTTTTATGATAAGGACACATTAAAAATTTATTCTCCAACCTCGTATATTTCTTGGATGCTCTCCTTATCCTGTTTTTTTAATGGCTTTTTAATTTTTTGGGCCTGGGTCTATTCATTAGCTACACTACTGTTTTCTATTATTAAAGATCCACACTTGCTTCTCTGCAATGCCTAATTCCAGAAGCAAAGTGATTAAAATGATAAAACCCAAACTCATATAGCAACAAAATCTGAATGTTCCAACTTTGGGGCTGTTTATGTTCTTTATTTATCCTGCTTAATGTGAATATCCATGTGTTTTATTGCAGAAATAGTCATGTGTAAGATTTCCGCCTAGTCACTGATACTTGGTGTATGCAGTATAGGACCTTCCTAAAATCTGAAAGAAAAACAATCTGAATCTGAAACAAATCAGGTGTCAAGGTGTCATGCATTGGATCTGGAATGTCCCCCAAAGGCTTTGGCTCTTGGAAAGTGATTAGATCAGGAGGATTCTGGCCCCAGGAATGGATTAATCCATTGTTGGGTTCATAGCTGAATGAACTATTGAAGGTGGTGATTATTGTAGGTGAGATCTGGATGGAGGGAGTGAGTCCTTGAGGATGTGGTCTTGGGGATTAGATGCATCTGCAGCCCCTTCCTCCATCTCTTTCTGCTCATCAGAGGTCCAGAATCATTGGACCCAAGTGATTATGGACTGAAACCTCAGAAGCTGTGAGCTAAAGATAAATATTTCTTTCCTTAAGTTATTTTTCTCAGGTATTTTGTTACAGCCACAAGCCATCATCCCTAGTGTCAATTTTCCATTTATTTCTGTGAGACTTAAGAACCAAACCTGTAAAGAAATAGATCAGTCTTTAATTCCTCATGAAATTTTCTACAGGCTGGGATTGGCTATGGTCAGATCCTTATCCAATCCTTCCACTTGGCTTCAAGCTTTCCCCGTAAGCATCAAACTCCATTTCTGTTTGGGTGTCAAAAATATAAGAAAATGAGCATGCTTAAACACAAGTTATTGCCTTCCACACCCTCCCCACCACCAAACCTATCTCCCCTGGGCATCCACCTGTCAGTAAATATTGCCATATTTACCAGCTGCTTGAGCCAAGATCCTTGGAGTCACCAGTGACCTCTATTCCTGCACACCCCACATTGGCTCCATCAGTGTATCCTGTCAACCCCAAATCCTTTGAAAATATGTGGGGTCTGTCAGCTTCCATCACTTCCCCATTACCACTACGGCTTGCCTCCCAGTCCTCCCCTGGACTATTGCATATGGCTTCCAATTACAAAATTCATGGAATTTTATTTTCTTTAATTCTTGCTGCAAATGACCATGGATTTTGTGTACCGTACAATTGAAGTTGTTTTCAAGAAAGAACTTCTGTAGATTAAAGGAAGCAAAATTGACTGTATTCACTGCTTCTCTCTGGCTTCATAACATTTTGTGCTACACTGTGCTTCTGGATGCTCTTTAAAGGTGTCAAGTGAGGTCCGTCTTTTGTAGTATCTGTTCAGTCCCTTTGAAATCTTTCCCTAGGTAACTTAGCATATATAACTTCCTCGGTTCATTTCTCAGATAAATATTCTCTTCTGCATAAAATTCTTTTATTCAAGGCCCGAACACACATACACACAACCCTTCCACCTCACCCATCCTTCATCCCTGTCTCTTCCTTTGCTGTGTGTTTCCTTGTGGGACTCATTATTTCTTGGTACTGTGTATGGAGTTTTGTTTGTGTTCTGGATCTCTTGCTCCATTAGAATGTTTTATGCAAAGAAAAAACGTATCCCCTGAATAATATTGTGTGAGTTTGTTTTGTAACTTTTTAACTTTCTGGCAAAGAGGATGAGTTTTGCTTTAATTATATCATCGGTTATCTTTATCTTCTCCCAAGTTTTATCTTTATCTTCTCCCAAGTTTCGTTTCAAAGAATTACCTTTCATCTGTATTGAAATTCAGCCGAATTATTTCTCAGTACTGGTCATCTTATCACCATTTTACTTTGGAATACAAGTAATATCCACAGATATTAAGTCCTTCAGTAGGAATAATTAATATTATGTGAAAATACAGTCATTTGCCTCATAATGAAATTTTAGACAAAAACAGCCATA